TACAACAAGTCACAGTCTTGACAACCTGATCTATATAGTCACCAGGTACAACAAGTCACAGTCTTGAAAACCTGATCTATATAGTCACCAGGTACAAGTCACTGTCTTGACAACCTGATCTATACAGTCACCAGGTACAACAAGTCAGTCTTGACAACCTGATCTATATAGTCACCAGGTACAACAAGTCACAGGCTTGACAACCTGATCTATACAGTCACCAGGTACGACAAGTCACAGCCTTGACACCATCATGCAATGAGTTTAACTACAAACTTTAGCATCTTAACAAGCTGATAGTACTTATGAAATGTACATTTATAACATGGGACAAAAACCTTGTAAAAATATTGTTCAAGCCAAAAATTGTTCCCAAATCAGTTGTTTGATTATGAGAAAATGTGATAGAATTCTTAGTTGAGAATATTACAGAGCCGTTCAGAATTAAATGTTGAACTATGAAACCAGACCATTCTTTATGCTTAAACAAGTGTGCTGAATAAGAGGCATTAGAGGAATAACAAGCATTACAAAATCATATCCTCTGCCAATGGCATGTTCTATTGTATGCAAAATACCATCTCTTGACAAGAAAGCTTTGACAATCTTCTTGCACCACACAGTTGTTAGTGTTTGTTTCTAGCTGCTTTTTTTTATATATGAAAATCATACTCATGCAAGTAATCTTTCGAGAGCAATTACTGTACAACCAATTATGGCCATAAGGAAGTGCAAGTGGTGATGCAGTCTCAAAACATTCATTATTATCATATCAACATTGATTGACTCTAATATATCTCCCTATTTTTTCAATCGTAAATTAAAAATGAAGTTCTCCTACTTTTTTAAAGAGTATATTATCAGTAATATATGCAGGCTGTATGTGACTAGTTAACACTGTGGGTGCTGGGGGTTATCACAGGATTCACTAGGGTTTCTGTTATTTCAATGGAATTCGAAAAAGAAAACAGAAAATAAACTAAAAATATCAGTCCAGAAGTCATAGACTGACCCCTTGACTGATAACCCGAGGAAATACAAATGGTTCATTGACTGGGATTTGTTTTCAGGGAAACAAGAGAGAAAACTTTCTAAAATTCTAAAATGAACCAGTTAATGTTCATGGCTAGACTGATGTGTGCAAACGTTAATCAAGGACTATTAGGTTATCTTTAGGACCAGTAAAGAAACCTATTCCTCATTGGGACTTATGTCAAACATCCTGTCATTAACACACAAACTTTTATTCTCTTCAAAATTACAAAGAGGAAGGGCATCAGTTCACTGATACATGTGCAAAAGTGTCTGAGTTGTGCTCAGTAAAGAAAACTTGACAGACATCAGACTAATTTTAGTCTACAAATGACATTTTTCAAGCATAATTTTAGGTGTGAATCACACATCCAAAAGGAAAGGTGTGAATCACACATCCAAAAGGAACGGAGTGTGAATCATGTGAAGATGTACAAACTGGATATCACCTTTCGCTACACGTGAAAAGAAATCAGAGTTTGGTGTTTGTAACAGCAAAGGTGTAAGACATGGAAATGTGTTGGAAAGTCAAACTGGAAGATTGCATCGGACATGATTTTTTTTTTTTAAATGCATTAAATGTTCTGCCAAACAAAGTTTGAAAAAAAAAGACCCTGGATCTAGTGCTGTGGCCGTGGATGAGATCTGTAAGCCAAGTGGAAGATAGAAATGACTATGTTTCCAAGAGAATTGGTTGGCTTTGTTTCCTCAGTTTTTGACCAAATTGGGAAGTTAGGATGTTTGAATGGGCATTAAGTCAAAATCAGTCTCAGGATGAATTCTTCAAAGTTTCCAAACAAGCACACTATGCCAAGAATAAGGATCACTAAGTGGTTCGTTGATCCCTGTCGTGAAAATGACCCATCTCTGTCTGTCATTAGTGAGCCCAAAGTGCCTTTTCTTTTTGTCAACATCAGTGAACACTACAACCAGCATTACGATACTAAGACATATTGCATCAATACAAATCATCAAGGAGAACTAACCTGGAAATAGGTTCTCATAGCTTCTTGTTGCTAAAATTCATTCCAAGTAACATACAATCATCTAGATGGATTTAAGTCACAAATGACAGTCAACAGACACTTGAACTTGCAGTGTAATGGGGTTGTGTCTGTCAACACAGATAAAGAAGCTTACAGTGTTTGAAATTTTCATACTGAATAAATTCAGCTGTATAGATTGATCAACCAACCTGTCTCAAGACGGCAATCATTCATATGACTACATGTCTATAACACATAACAACTGAGATACGTCTACAACACTACCTGCACTTCTCAATATATCCTTTCTTGGCAGCAGTAAGAAAATGACAACCTGGTGAAGCACATGCAGCAAACAAACACACCGTGCCATGGCAAACCAACCAATATTCAGTTGCAGACATATGCATGTTCACACTAAGCAGCATAGTCACATAGACACTGGACACTGTAGCTGTAAGTCATATCTAGCATCTCCACGGTAACTTCATTGTCATTGGTATATACTTTCTTGATCATGTTTACAATGAACAGTGTCAAACAACAGTGTGACGGGATGGTGATGAGAGCGGATCTGTGGTTCAACAGCTATGTACTCGCCCACAAGAGACTCAAGAGTTCTCTCCGCTCGTTTCCATAAGTAGAAGAATTGTGTAGCACTATCAGCCACACCTCGTTCAACCTCTCTCAACCACACCTTGTTTAACCCCTGTTACACCTCTTACAACCCCTCTCAACCACACCTCGTACAGCTCCCTCTGCCACACCTCGTACCTTTACCACACCTTGCACAACCCCTTTCAACCACACCTTATACAACCCCCCAGCCATACCTCATACATCCCTCCATGTCACACCTCGTACATAGCGATTATTACACGAGCAAGTGTGTCATATGACTTATACGAAACGAGTGTGAAATTTTGTATTGCCCGCGCTCTCACACTCGGATATTGTGTTAATGTTGTCAAATATCAAGTCATCTGACGAAGTTGATATGTTCACGAGTGTCGCAGCCACGAGTGAACATATCAACTTTTGTCAGACCACTAGATGAAATATACATGTTATTTGACAACATTAACAAAATATTCTATTTATTATATTTTGATCATTGTTTATAAATGATCGAGACATCAAGTAAGTCTGCATAACTCTTTAATCAGAAAGTAGTTCCAGGCAAAAGTGATATTCTACTCAGTGAAATAACATGTTATTCTACTCAGTGAAAATACCATTTTTACTTTCACCAATATTTACAGTATTTCACCCTTAAGAATATAATAAATCCCTTTATGTCACACCTCGTACATCCCTTTATGTCACACATCGTACATCCCTTTATGTCACACCTCGTACATCCCTTTATGTACATCCCTTTATGTCACACCTCGTACATCCCTTGATGTCACACATCGTACATCCCTTTATGTATATCCCTTTATGTCACACCTCGTAGATCCCTTTATATACATTCCTTTATGTCACACCTCGGACATCCCTTTATGTCACACATCGTACATCCCTTTATATACATCCCTTTATGTCACACATCGTACATCCCTTTATGTACATCCCTTTATGACACACATCGTACATCCATTTATATACATCCCTTTATGACACACATCGTACATCCCTTTATGTACATTCCTTTATGTCACACATCGTACATCCCTTTATGTACATCTCTCTATGTCACACCTCGTACATCCCTTTATGTACATCCCTTTATGACACACATCGTACATCCCTTTATGTCACACATCGTTCATCTCTTTCTGTCACACATCGTACGTCCCTTTATGTACATCCCTTTATGTCACACATCGTACGTCCCTTTATGTCACACATCGTACATCCCTTTATGTCACACATCGTACATCCCTTTATGTCACACATCGTACATCCTTTTATGTCACACATCGTACATCCCTTTATGTGTCACATCCCTTTATGTCACACATCGTACATCCCTTTATGTACATCCCTTGATGTCACACATCGTACATCCTTTTATGTCACACATCGTACATCCCTTTATATACATTCCTTTATGTCACACATCGTACATCCCTTTATGTCACACATCGTACATCCCTTTATATACATCCATTTATGTCACACCTCGTACATCCCTTTATGTACATCCCTTTATGACACACATCGTATGTCATCCCTTTATGGCACACATCGTACATCCCTTTATGTACATCTCTTCATGTCACACCTCGTACATCCCTTTATGTACATCCCTTTATGTCACACATCGTACATCCCTTTAACAACATCTCTTTATGTCACACCTCGTACATCCCTTTATGTAGATCACATTATGTCACAAATCGTACATACCTTTATATACATCCCTTTATGTCACACATCGTACTTCCCTTTATGTACATGCCTTTATGTCACACATCGTAGATCCCTTTATGTACATCTCTCTATGTCACACCTCGTACATCCCTTTATGTAGATCACATTATGTCACACCTCGTACATCCCTTGATGTCACACATCGTACATCCTTTTATGTCACACATCGTACATCCCTTTATGTACATCCCATTATGTCATACATCGTACATCCCTTTATGTCATACATCCCTTTATGTCACACCTTGTACATCCCTTTATGTCACACATCATACATCCCTTTATGTCACACATGTCACACCCCATACATCCCTTTATGTCACACCTTGTACATCCCTTTATGTCACACCTCGTACATCCCTTTATGTCGCACATGTCACACCCCATACATCCCTTTATGTTACACCTCGTACATCCCTTTATCGTCAGTCAAACCCATGGAGAAACTCAGTACTTCTCATAATCAGCAACAGCCCCATCATGTTTAATCTTACTAAACGGTTGATCACCAGACATGTTTGTCCCTTGAAGCCACACACAAGCACAGTTAACATAGACTCAAGCAATGCTACTATGGCAGCCCTAAGGTCGGGACAAACCTACCTTTTTACATTATCTTTCACATCATCCTCAAAATCGTCAAAGCCCATGATACTCTCACTGAAAGGAAACAAAACGTACAGGAATGACAAACATGCACAGAATATGATGTTGGTGTAGGAAGTGCAGCTGTGGGAGCAGGTGGCGTCACACAATACACAGTGTCCAGTACAGTCCAAGTCTCCCATGTACCAACAGATATGTTATGTCCAAACAAACTGGCATCTGCACTCCTAGTGCTGAACACAAGATCACTTAAAATGTGCAATATGTTTAACATTGAACACACACTGTGACTATGTTGCATCTTATTGTATGACACAAATCTGTGTGCTGTGCCATCATGCAGACAACAGCACACAACCAGGACTCAGTGTAGGAACTTGGTCAATCCTACATCCTCATAATGATTCAATCCACTTCATTCCTATATCATCTATAAAGACAACATGATGCAAATAATTTCTCAAACTGAGTTCCTATCCATTTGATTTAAAACAAAAGCAACACCTGTAACCACAATCAAATTAGCCAATAACTACAAATTCTTAATTTCCTTCCGCATATTTTTTACTGGATGCAAGGTTTGTGAATTTCCCCCTTTACACAGACCGCAAGGGGCCACATATACACAGCAAACAGGAAAACAGTGCTGGCAACGTCCTCAGTCAAGACAAGCTCCTCGCTTGCCCTCAAGATGGAAGGGCAGTCAAATATTCAACATGAGACTGAGTTTAGATCAATGTTGTTACAAGCAATTCCTGTATTCACGTAAATACTGGGGGAAGTCGTGGAGGTGGCAACCGGGCAGTTTATATGGACAAATTCTTCATGGGCATTCATTCATGGCAAAAATGTTCATTTCCTGAAGTTTCCAAACGTTTTTAACAATTGTTTCTAGTTATTGCAAAAGGAATAAATGAGGAATACAACAAATCTATTAACCATATCTACCTACATATGACAGATATGTTGGTACCCTGCTTCCTCCCATTTCCTGGCAACTGATTTCTCTTCACTTCCACAATAGTTGTGACATCAGTTCAAAATTAGAATTGTGAATAAAAAAATATATTACATTCTAAGGTTCAGATACATATGAGAATTATGTAACTGAAGTTATGACAGGTGCCAGAGTTGAGTATTACCTATAAATATGTAACTTACTGAGGTTTAGGTAGGTGCAAGAGTTGAGTATTACCCACAAATATGTAACTTACTGAGGTTTAGGTAGGTGCCAGAGTTTAGGATTACCCATAAATATGTAACTAAGGCCAAAAAAATATATCTCCGTTTCCTATTACATGCTCTTTAAATATAGGGTAGGTGGGTCGGTTTTATCTTTTTTTTTTACTTTTTTTTTATTTCTTAGTGGACACCTGATGTCTTCAAGAGTACCATATCATGTAGTGATAATGCCTTATGATGAAACATTGAAAGATTTCTATATCAAATCATTATTTATGTTATTTATTTGCAGATTTGGTCAGTGAGGACCCATTATGCCAATTCAATACAATCCATTTTAGCCCTACGTACACTGAAAAACATGGAAATATCATACTCGATTTGGATGAAAATGACGAGTTGAAATGCACTCCAGTTATGATATTGACTTGGTTAAAAAAAAGATTTAGGGTCGGGGGTTCTGGGGGATTTAGGATAGGGTCGGTCGGTTACCAGAAACGGACATATACTTTTGGGGGGCCTAAGGTTCATGTAGGTGCCAGAGTTGACTATTACCCATAAATATGTAACTTACTGAGGTTTATGTGGGTGCAAGAGTTGAGTATTACCTATAAATATGTAACTTACTGAGGTTTATGTGGGTGCAAGAGTTGAGTATTACCTATAAATATGTAACTTACTGAGGTTTAGGTAGGTGCAAGAGTTGAGTATTACCTATAAATATGTAACTTACTGAGGTTTAGGTAGGTGCAAGAGTTGAGTATTACCTATAAATATGTAACTTACTGAGGTTTATGTGGGTGCAAGAGTTGAGTATTACCTATAAATATGTAACTTACTGAGGTTTAGGTAGGTGCAAGAGTTGAGTATTACCTATAAATATGTAACTTACTGAGGTTTAGGTAGGTGCCAGAGTTGAGTATTACCTATAAATATGTAACTTACTGAGGTTTATGTGGGTGCAAGAGTTGAGTATTACCTATAAATATGTAACTTACTGAGGTTTATGTGGGTGCAAGAGTTGAGTATTACCTATAAATATGTAACTTACTGAGGTTTAGGTAGGTGCAAGAGTGGAGTATGACCTATTAATATGTAACTTACTGAGGTTTAGGTAGGTACAAGAGTTGAGTATTACCTATAAATATGTAACTTACTGAGGTTTAGGTAGGTGCAAGAGTTGAGTATTACCTATAAATATGTAACTTACTGAGGTTTATGTGGGTGCCAGAGTTGAGTATTACCTATAAATATGTAACTTACTGAGGTTTAGGTAGGTGCAAGAGTTGAGTATTACCTATAAATATGTAACTTACTGAGGTTTATGTGGGTGCAAGAGTTGAGTATTACCTATAAATATGTAACTTACTGAGGTTTAGGTAGGTGCAAGAGTTGAGTATTACCTATAAATATGTAACTTACTGAGGTTTAGGTAGGTGCCAGAGTTGAGTATTACCTATAAATATGTAACTTACTGAGGTTTATGTAGGTGCAAGAGTTGAGTATTACCTATAAATATGTAACTTACTGAGGTTTATGTGGGTGCAGAGTTGAGTATTACCTATAAATATGTAACTTACTGAGAGGTTTAGGTAGGTACAAGAGTTGAGTATTACCTATAAATATGTAACTTACTGAGGTTTAGGTAGGTGCAAGAGTTGAGTATTACCTATAAATATGTAACTTACTGAGGTTTATGTGGGTGCAAGAGTTGAGTATTACCTATAAATATGTAACTTACTGAGGTTTAGGTAGGTGCAAGAGTTGAGTATTACCTATAAATATGTAACTTACTGAGGTTTATGTGGGTGCAAGAGTTGAGTATTACCTATAAATATGTAACTTACTGAGGTTTATGTGGGTGCAAGAGTTGAGTATTACCTATAAATATGTAACTTACTGAGGTTTATGTGGGTGCAAGAGTTGAGTATTACCTATAAATATGTAACTTACTGAGGTTTAGGTAGGTGCAAGAGTTGAGTATTACCCATAAATATGTAAGTTACTGAGGTTTAGGTAGGTGCAAGAATTGAGTATTACCTGTTAAAGTGTTGCTGAGATTTTAAGGACCGTTCATAATTTATGGCAGGGGGTTGTGTGGGTGGTGGTGATGATGGTTTTTATGGAGAAGCATGTACACTGTGAATGACTCCCACTAAGATTTATGTACAAAGTAAGTGACCCCCCTGCATGTCATGTACAAAATTGCTACCCTACCTCCCCAGAACAAAATGGGTGACACCCCTACCCACCCCAAACCAACCACACCGGAAGTTTGCGTAGGTGTGTGAAGTAAGGATTACCTGTAAATGTGTTACTGAGGTTCAGGTAGGTATGAGATGTAAGGATTACCTGTAAATATGTTACCTAGGTTCAGGTAGGTATGAGATGTAAGGATTACCTGTTAATGTGTTACCTAGGTTCAGGTAGGTGTGAGATGTTTACATTACCTGTAAATGTTTTACTGAGGTTCAGGTAGGTATGAGATGTAAGGATTACCTGTTAATGTGTTACCTAGGTTCAGGTAGGTATGAGATGCAAGGATTACCTGTAAATGTGTTACTGAGGTTCAAGTAGGTATGAGATGTAAGGATCACCTATAAATGTGTTACTGAGGTTCAGGTAGGTATGAGATGTAAGGATTACCTGTAAATGTGTTACCTAGGTTCAGGTAGGTATGAGATGCAAGGATTACCTGTAAATGTGTTACTGAGGTTCAGGTAGGTATGAGATGTAAGGATTACCTGTAAATGTGTTACTGAGGTTCAGGTAGGTGTGTGAAGTAAGGATTACCTGTAAATGTGTTACCTAGGTTCAGGTAGGTGTGAGATGTTTACATTACCTGTAAATGTGTTACTGAGGTTCAGGTAGGTGTGAGATGTAAGGATTACCTGTAAATGTGTTACTGAGGTTCAGGTAGGTATGAGATGCAAGGATTACCTGTAAATGTGTTACTGAGGTTCAAGGTAGGTATGAGATGTAAGGATTACCTGTAAATGTGTTACTGAGGTTCAGGTAGGTATGAGATGTAAGGATTACCTGTAAATGTGTTACCTAGGTTCAGGTAGGTATGAGATGTAAGGATTACCTGTAAATGTGTTACTGAGGTTCAGGTAGGTATGAGATGTAAGGATTACCTGTAAATGTGTTACTGAGGTTCAGGTAGGTATGAGATGTAAGGATTACCTGTAAATGTGTTACTGAGGTTCAGGTAGGTATGAGATGTAAGGATTACCTGTAAATGTGTTACCTAGGTTCAGGTAGGTATGAGATGCAAGGATTACCTGTAAATGTGTTACTGAGGTTCAAGTAGGTATGAGATGTAAGGATTACCTGTAAATGTGTTACTGAGGTTCAGGTAGGTATGAGATGTAAGGATTACCTGTAAATGTGTTACCTAGGTTCAGGTAGGTATGAGATGCAAGGATTACCTGTAAATGTGCTACTGAGGTTCAGGTAGGTATGAGATGTAAGGATTACCTGTAAATGTGTTACCTAGGTTCAGGTAGGTATGAGATGTAAGGATTACCTGTAAATGTGTTACTGAGGTTCAGGTAGGTATGAGATGTAAGGATTACCTGTAAATGTGTTACCTAGGTTCAGGTAGGTATGAGATGTAAGGATTACCTGTAAATGTGTTACTGAGGTTCAGGTAGGTATGAGATGTAAGGATTACCTGTAAATGTGTTGCTGAGGTTCAGGTAGGTATGAGAAGTAATGATTACCATTAAATGTGTTACTGAGGTTCAGGGAGGTTCAAGGTGAGCATTCCTAGCACCAGGACGTGTGTTAAAAAGGGACAGATTAGTTCAGATTGAATATTACCAGTACATGTGGCACCCACTGCTGTAAGGTAAACTATATGACAATGG